CCCGCGGCACCACAGGAGGCAATCCTGCGGGCTGAATCCAAAGCCCTGAGGGGCCGGATCTGGCCCGCGGGCCATAGTTTGCCCACCCCTGGCCTAGATTCTCTCTTTTTCACCTTATTACTCCTACTTATAGCCCCACTTTCACATTCTTTACCTTTCACAACACAGGAGTCAGGGGTAACCCAATGAAATTAACAGGCAGCAGGTTTAAAATAAACATAAGGAAGTATGTCACACAATGCACAGTCAACCTGTGGAACTCATTGCCAGGAGAGGTTGTGAAGACCAAAAGTATAATTGGGTTCAAAAAATAATTCATAAGTTCATGGAGGATAGGTCCATCGATGACCATTGGCCAAGATGGTCAGGGATGCAACCCCATGTTCTGGGTGTCCTTAAGCCTCTGACTGCCAGAAGCTGGGACTGGAGGACAGGGGAGGGATCACTCAAACTACCTGTTCTGTTCATTGCTTCTGAAGCATTTGGCACTGGCCACTGTTGGAAGACAGGATCCTGGGCTAGATGGGCCATTGGTCTGACCCAGCAGGGCCATTCTTATGTACCACATTTGTTTTTTATACCCTTCATATATTTATAGGCTTCTATAACTATCAGGTTCTTCTACTTCACGCATCATGGTGGTATCCAAGTTCCTTTGTTCCATCACTCAATCAAGCTATACATATTGAGATCAAGATTTTCTTATGAGTCAGTCCCTGCATCCTCATGATCATTTTTGTTTTCTTCTCTGAACTCCCCATTTGACAATCTTGCCATAAACAATGTACCCAGAACTGCATGCAGTGTTCTACGTGCAGGTACCCCAGAGCCATATAAAGTGGAACAGTTGCCTCTCTGCTTCATAACACCTCTGCATACGCAGCCTAATAGCCCATAAGCTTTTTTTTTTTTTTAATAGCCCCACCACACTACAAACCTATGTTTAATTTGCTGACCATGATCAACCTTCACACTCTTTCTACATTACTGCCTCCCAGAAGGAACACTCCTAGTGTAGGATGCTTGAGATTATCTTTTCCTAGGTGTATTAGCTTCATTTCCCCAAAGTTAATCTCTCCTGTCATATTTCAAATCTCTTCATATCTGAGGGTAATTTCTGTCTCTGTGACCATTATAGTTCCTCCTACTATCTCCAGCAATTTAATTTATTACAATATGAACTCAACACAAAGTAATCATATTTCTTTAATGGGCTCTTCTATTAGCCTGTTCTGAGAGCTAAAAATTTTATTTATCAATTCCTTTGCACTCTTATTTTATTAGTCTTTTCTAAAGAATGTTAATAGGCTACAGAGGAATGACTTGCCCTTATAGAATATGGGCTTGCTTGTGCCTTGCATTTTCTGCTTATATTTAGGCTTCGTAGAATTCAATTTTTATTTAATAATTGTAATGGCTAATATCAATTTATATTTAAGTTTATTTTTATCTATTTAAATTTTCACAGTTGGGCAAAATTATGGGGGTGTTGGATAATATGGGGGGGGTCAGACAACTATTTAATTACAGTAGATGTTGACATTCAAAAAGATGTATAGCCATTAAAAACACAAATTGTCATCATCATATGTTAAAATATACAAAGTAAACATCCTTAACTCAAACTTTAAGAAGTTCTCAAGTAGCATTTTTCTTACTTTGCCTATCTGTAATTTTCAATCATCATCAATGGGAATTTGTGTGTGTCTGTGGTGAAATTAACATTTACTGACATTTACCAATAAAATCTAAACCTTCCACTCCCACTTATATAGATGCTTGGATCAATTAACACCTCAGATATTGATAATTATAGATCAATGAGATGTCACCCTATATGTCTCATTGGTCTATAATTATCAATATCTCCCTCTGTGCCTTTAGAGACCAGTACAATGGTGCCCACTCTCCCATAATAAAATATGACGTTAGTAGCTCCATTACATTGGACTTCAGTTCCCTCTAAATTCTTTGATGAATATTCCACAGCCCTGATGATTTATTGCAGTTTTATTTCTCAGAAGAGTCCGAAGAATAACCACTGAGGGAGATATTTCTCTCCTTCCCACCTTCATTATCCTATGTTATGGAGACTGCTGCAAATTAAACATTTACCCTTTATGCAGTCTAATCACATTATATGATCTCTTTTACACTGTAGTGGTTGTGTAGCTCTAATGACTCAGTGAGCTTCCTACTTCTAATGTGCTTGCCTGTCTTCATTTCGCCAAGAATTTACATAGTAGTCTTTAAATTTATTCAGAGTCACCATTTTCAGCTTGGAAAAGAGACGACTAAGGGGGGAATACGATAGAGGTCTATAAAATCATGACTGGGGTGGTGAAAATAAATAAGGAAGTGATTATTCCTTCTCATAACACAAGAACTAGGGGCCACCAAATTAAATTAATAGGCAGCAGGATTAAAAACAAACAAAAGGAAGTATGTTTTCCACACAACGCACAGTGAACTCGTGGAATTCCTTGCCAGAGAATGTTGTGAAGGCCAAGACTAACAGGGTTCAAAAAAGAACTAGATAAATTCATGGAGGATAGGTCCATCAATGGTTATTAGCCAGGATGGGAAGGGATGGTGCCCCTAGCCTCTGTTTGCCAGAAGCTGGGAATGGGCAACAGGGGGTGGATCACTTGATGATTACCTTCTCTGTTCATTCCCTCTGGGGCATCTGGCATTGGCCACTGTCAGAAGACAGGATACTGGGCCAGATGGACCTTTGGTCTGACCCTGTGTGACCGTTCTTATGTTCTTATTTTACCTGCAAAGTCTACTTTATTAGTTTCTCTTGGGTTGGATTTTCATTCTTAAAGGCTACATAAAATCTTCTGCCTTGTTATTTAACCAGTTTCCCTCCAGCTTTTTACTTTTTTCTTCCTTGAATATGCAGACCTTCTGTAACTAAAAGCATCTTCAAGCAGTCTCCAGTGCATTTCTATGTCTTTCAGTTTAACTTTTGACCTTCAGGCAGATTCTATCAATAGTTTGTCAGAGTACAATACTTAATAGCAAGATATGCTCTTAAATAGTATCTTCCATGTGAGAATATCAAACTTAATTACATTAAATATAGTAGCGTGTATTAAGGTAATTTGAAGGTTGCACAATTTAAAAAAGGTTCCAATAGCAGCAGTTAAGATTACAAAAGTTAAAGGTTCAATCAACACAATTCACTCAGACACACTGCATTTTACATAGTCATTAACTGTATCTAATAAAGACAGTTTCACATGTAACAAGAACAAAGAAAGAAGACAGAAATGAGCCAAGTTCATGCTGCTACCGGAAGACTGTCAGAAAATGCAAAAAGGTTGTTCTATCAGCTTTAAGCTGACTTTGTGGTGGGGCAGAAAACCTGTCCATGGGAGCATCTCTACTGGTAAGTGGCAAAAAAAAGAGGAAGTGAGAGGGACTGAAACTTTACCTCCACAAGGACTGAACGTACCACATGTCAGAGGGGGAAGAGCTGGAGGGAGAGGAGAGGGAGATGCCCCAGAACTGTAAAGGTTTTAAAGTTCCTGTAGACACAGACCCAAGTGTGGGAACTTATTACAATAAGTGACTTTAGAAAATATATTTCCAAAGTTTTCTAGTTGTACTTTGAATCTTCTAGGCTGCAGGCAACTCACCTCTCCCTGAGCTTGTGACCAGCCTGTTTTCTGTTTCTCTTGTCCAGTAACTGCTGACATGCCAGTGTCAGAGATCCGCACAGTTGTTGGTGTCAAAGCAGCTGTAGTAACAGCTGCTGGAGAAGCCCCCATGCTTTGGCCAACCTGTTCCAGTGATTTTCCTGCCTCTTTACATCCAGCTCCAACCAGCAGTGCTTGACTAGCGGCTGAAGAAAAAGGAGTGAAGGGTACAGGTGTGTCACCAACCACTGGCTCATCCTGCACCACCAGAGTTCGGCCATTCTCTTTGGTGTAAGTGGCAAAGCGAATATTGCGATTAATCTGAGGAACAAAAGGAGGCAGCTGCTTGGCCCTTGCATCCAGCCCTGTTTCACTTCCAGTGCCTCCTTTCCAAGGAGGCCTGCTTGCCTCACCTCCATCACTCCCATTACTATCCACTTCACCCCTCTCTTTTAGCTTCTTTGTTGCAGGATCACATCCGGAGTCTGAAGCATTTTTCCTCCTTCGTCCATCCTTTCCTTCCATACTCTCTCTCTTCTTTTTCCCTTTCGAAGATTTAGCTGCTTTTAGGCCCCCTCCCTAGAATAAATAAAATGAAGTAATCACTATAGGCAAAGGGTCATCCAGCCTGTCAGGCCAGAACCAGAAGGTCCACTCTTTTCCCATCTCTTAAAGGAAAATATTTCATTTGTTAGAATAATAGATTTGATACACTACATTAAACTCAGAAATAGTTATTTTAGACAGATACCGCAATGGAAGTTTTTAATATATAAAATTGCATGTATGCACACCGGCCTCTGTTTTTTTACATTAGAACAGGGTCCTCCATAGCAAACAGTTTCACTCATTTATTAATGGAGCTAGGTTGCCATGTGGTGGTACATCAGCACAATGGGCAATTCTGGTTAGTGGGTTATTATCTTGAAGTAAAACTGAATTTTGAAATGATTTATATACCGACAGTGATAAATTCCAGTGATATAAATCATTTTCCTTTAAGGCAAAACTTCCAGTCCAACACAGCTGGCAACTCTGCCAGCATCCTAGGAGGCAGCCTGTCCTTCAATCCACAGAAATAATAGCCCCAAATTTCAGAAAAGGATTGTAGTTAGGAGGGGAGATAGACTGCTGTAGCAAGGGAGGAGAGGAGGCATTTCCTGAAACCAGAGGCAGTGATCACCAGGACAGCCTCCTTCACAGTGCAACCCCTTAGAATGAAGCAAGACAACCCTTAGATGCCATTAGTCCAACTTTTCTCTCCAGTAAGAGTAATTCCAAACTCATTAAACTCACAGCAAGCCTGTGTTAAAAGGAAATGGACTTTTAAAGGAAGCCGAGTGCATAATCTGACTATTTTATTGTCCACAACATACATATAGGAAACCCTCCTCTCAGCTCCAGTGGACTTCTCAAATACTCTCAGTGACCAGAACTCCTCTTCAAGTTGTTTCCTCCCAAATGATCGCAAGATACTTTCTAAAGCTCCTGATTAAACATGCAGAGACATGACACAATACAGTACCTCATTTGGTGGAACAGAATTGTCCATCACTACATGAACCAGTCGGGGATCCACTGACTTTATCTCACCAGTCTGATTTTTATGAGGTGGGCAGCAAAAAACAAGGAAGAAAGAAAAAAATATTCAGTCAAATTACCAGCTAAGAGATAACAATGAACATAAGACAGCGTGCAGACCCTCTTTTCCCTCACTCGCCTCCTTCTCTCCCTGTCCTCACTTGTCAACATCTCTGCTTTCACTATACTCCTCTGAACTGTTTCACTACCCTTTCTCAACTTCTCTAACCCTCAAATTTGGGTCCTACTCTGTTCTCATTTTTCTGTCTCCATTCATTTATCAGTCCTGTTGAGCACCTCTGGAGACAGTTCTGCCACGAAAGTCTGGTCTACACTGGGGGGAAGCGGGATTGAGATCGAGCTAAATTACGCAACTTCAGCTACGTTATTCACGTAGCTGAAGTCGATGTACTTAGATCTACTTACCGCAGTGAAGACACTGCAGTAAGTCGACGGCTGACGCTCTCCAGTCAACTCCGCCTGCGCCTCTCGCCCTGGTGGAGTACCAAAGTCGATGGGAGAGCACTCGGTGGTCGATTTATCGCGTCTAGACTAGATGCGATAAATTGACCCCCGCTGGATCGATTGCTGCCCATCGATCCAGCGGATAATGTAGACAAGCCTTAAGTTCCCTTCTTCCACTTTGAATTCATTCCCTTCCAATTTTGTCTTTTCTTCTAAACTGACAAGGAAACATGTCAGTTGATGCCACCCATTCTCTATTAGCTTCCCCCACAAAAAGGAAGATTAGAGACCAGTCAATAATTAGCAATATCAATGTCAGATGATTGTTTCTTGAGCCAAATGATCACTTCCTTACTTAAGAATGTCACCTTGCTCTCCCACATGGAAACAATTAAGAATCTCTTCTAACAGACTCCCTGTCTCTTCAGTAGAGTTCATCAGCCAGGAGATACATGAATCGGATTCAGAAGGAGTGGCCAGAAACTCCTCCTGCAAGTCATATTGGCTAAAATTCAAGCAAAGAAAATTCTGTTCCTGTCCAGAACTAGTTCTGCCTCCAAACAATCCAAAAAGTTCAATCTGAATACAAATGATCTTAGGGGGAGGGATAGCTCAATGGTTTGAGCATTGGCCTGCTAAACCCAGGGTTGTGAGTTCAATCCTTGAGGGGTCCATTTAGGGATCTGGGGCAAAATCAGTACTTGGTCCTGCTAGTGAAGGCAGGGGGCTGGACTCGATGACCTTTCAAGGTCCCTTCCAGTTCTAGGAGATAAAATATAAATTAATGGAGATATCCTATTTTATTTTATCATGGAGGATTGGAGGAAAAAAAAAACCAACAACCCTCCTCACAACAAAGAGTACATAACAGTCAGTGCTGTAGACAGTTATAATTCACCATGCTACCCACCACTTGGGTCTGCTGATTGGAAGTTTGTGGAAGCACTGATACCTGGATTCCTGTTCATCCAAGACTACACATCAAAAAGGTGGGTTCAGACTGAGATTTTGACCCCTAGAACCTAGCAATCCTCCTTCATGCTTCACCTGTTTCAGGCAATGTGTATACCAAGGTGACGTATAAGGAAGAAGCCAAGAAAGATGGCATTTGATGGCCATAATATGACAATCATGGAAAAGTAACCTTCTGCTTGTCTACCAATATCCTCTCCTTCTCATCCACTTCCTACAATACTTACAATACAATTTTCCTACAATATTTTTGTCCTCGCCAAGCATCTCTCTACATCCTCCCCTAATTGAATTGGGCATTGTATATTTTGTAATATAAGCCCTGTGAGGTAAGAAAAGTGACCTGTCCATGAAGTACCATGTGATTACACATCTTTAGGAGACACTAGCCAACAGACAACAAAATTCAAATTTTGTGGAGAATGGTATGTTCACCAAGCGATGCAGGGAACTCATGTTTTAGAAGCCCAAACGAAGTGCTTCAGGCCTTCACCTCAGTCACGGACACTTCCATCAGACGAGTGATGGGGTCTTGACAGGTCACAACACCACAGAGCCAGCTATTTTCATCCTCTGGTTGGTACACCTTAACTCTTTGGCCTTGGACACTGTAGGGACCTGAAAAAGAGAGCCAGATCAACTGAGTATATCTGCAGACAAATTATTGGCACTGTACCATTAGGGGTACATAATACAGACAGCAATGTGTGCCGAGTTAGGGTTGAAAGCACTCATCTCCTGGTGCAAGAAAACAGATTACCAAGTTTTATTACAGATCTTGCTCACAGCAAATACATCATCTAAGCACAGTTCTGTTGAAAAATGTGGTTAAAATAGCACTGTGAGGCTCACGTTTGTGTCAAAAATTATGAGGTCAAATTTGATCAATTTACAAGTAAAATTATGTTTTGAGAAGATCTGAAAAACCCAGCCTTACAGACTCAACCTAGAACCTGAAACAAGGCAACTGACTCCCTCCTAAATACTTTTTCCCCCTCTGTCACCTACAAGTGAATAAATAATTAGAAAAAAAATCCAGACATACACACATCGTGAGTAACCATGTGACTTTACTGTGAAGTCCTTGTGAAATTCCACCTTGAGTTTATAAGGAGAGGTTCCTCACCCTGTGCAGCAACTGGAGTTCTTCAAAGTGTGTGCCCCTGTGGGTGATCCACTTCAGGTGCCGCGTACCCTATGTACCTTGGATTAGAGTCTTTTAGTAGCAGAGTTCATTCAGCCCATACACCTGCCTTACACATCCTCGTGCCTCACACCAAGGCTATATAGTGCTGCGCTGGAGAACTGCCCTCAGCTCCTTCTCCACAAAGCTGAAGTAGAGGGGAAGGAGGGCACGCAGTGGAGCACCTGTAGGGAGAGACGCACACACCCTTGCCTCAAACAACTCCAGTTACTTACAGGGTGAGTAATCTCTCCTTCAAGTAGTGTCCCTGTGGGTGCTCCACTTCAGGTGACTAACAAGCAGCAGCCTCAGCAGGAGTAGGGGGCTTTGGAGTAGTTCAATGCTGTAGATAGTACTGCAGACTCACAAGCAGCAGCTGAAGTTGAATCATGGATTACTTTGAAAAAGTGTGTACAGAAGTCCAAGTGGCAGCCCTGCAGATCTCATTGATGGAAACTTCCTGGGAAAATGTCACTAAGGTAGAGTGATCCCTTTGTTGAATGGTTAATATCCCAACAGAAGGTTGAATATTAGATTGATAACAAGGAATGATTTATCCAGATATCCACCTACAAAGTCCCTGATTGGAAATTGTAGATTCCTTAGAGTTGTCAGCAACTGACAGTCTGGGAGACTTTCAAAAGGATTTAGTTCTGTCCAGGTAAAAGGCTAATGCCCTTTTTGACATCAAGCATATGTAATATAGTGTCCTCCTTAGTCAGATGTGATTTAGGGAAGAAAACTGAGAAATGAATGACCTGATTAATATGGAATTCAGATGAAACCTTATGTAAGAATTAGGGGTGTAGGCATAGCAAAACCTTATCTTTGAAAAATACTGTGAAGAGAGGGTGTGCCATTTGGGTTCCTCCCTCTCCCACTCTTGGAGCAGATATAATGGGCTACCAAGAAGGCAATCTCCACAGATAACTTCAGTAGAGAAATTGCCATTGGTTTAAAGGAAGGTCTCATAAGGCATCTGAGAACAAATTAAGATCTCAAGCTGAGATGGACGCTTGATTTGAGGGCAAGTTTCCCTACTCTGATAAATCTCACTATGATACAACAGGTAAACACTGAGAAACCTTTGACGGGAGAATGAAAAGCTCTTATAGCTGCCAAGTGAACTTTGATAGGGCTCATAGATAACCCCATCTTCTTCAGTTCCAGGAGGTAGTCCAGAATATTTGACAGTGAGGAAGAAACAGGTGAAAGATGCCACAGATCACACCAACAGTTGAATCTCTTCCATTTCTGAAGGTAGATATTGCAGCTAGACTCATTTCTACTGTTTAACAGTACCTCCACAGAACAGATCATTTCTATCCCTGCAAACCATCAGTGAGCCATGCTATGATATGACAAACACTCAGGCTAGGGTGAAGGAAAGGAGATGGGAAATGGTCAGGAGGCACATTGCTTGACAAACTGCCAGCAGCATGAGGTAAGCAAACCATGGTCTGTCTCAGCCATTTTGGGACTATCGGTATGACCCTGGTCTTGTCCGATCTTACCTTGTTCACCACCTTCAGTAGTAAAGTTGTTGGAGAGGGAAAAACATATAGCAGTCCTGATGCCCAACATAGGAGAAAGGCATCCCCCAGGAGTGATGGCCCAGTACCCCTCAAACAGAACTGAGCACACCTTTGTTCTTGGCCGTGGCAAAGAGGTCCACCTCTGGGAGACCCCAAATCTGAAATGTGCGATCGAGAGACCAAGCATCCAGCGCCCATTTGTAATCCTGGGAGAAATGTCTTCCGAGAGTCCTGAACGCCAGGAAAATATACTGCAGACACATGGATACGATTGTCTATGCACCAATTCCATAGTCTTACAGCTTTGTCATAAACAGAAGGGGATCTCTCTTCTCAATTGATATAAAACATGTAGGCCACATCATCTGTCATGATCTTGATGCACCTGCTCCTGATCAATGGCAGAAAACAGAGACAGGCATTTCTAACTGCTCTGAGTTCCAGCAGCTTGATGTGTAAAGTGATCTTGTTCGGAGAACACCAGCCCGAACAGGGTGAGTGTCCAGGTGCGCTCCTCAATAGAGATGCATCTGTTGTTACTTTGTTACTGTAACTGCTGGGGGTGGCTGGGTAAACTGGACACCAGCATGGACACTATGGGAGTCTTCCCACCAATCAAGGTAGTCCTTTACCAAAAAACATAAAAATGACCATATTGGGTCAGACCAATGGTCCATCTAGCCCAGTATCCTGTTTTCTGACAGTGGCCAATGCCAAGTGCTTCAGCCCATTCCCAGCTTCTGGTAAACAGAGGCTAGGGGAACTTACAGAGAGAACAAATTCCTGTCTACGCTGTGTTTGTTTGGAAGGCAAATGGTTCTGAGCCACCCCTCTGAGCCACCCCTATAGGGAGTGAAGATGCAACCTTGGATGGCTTACTATGAAGGTGCAAAGCTGCCATATGCCCCAAGAGTTTAATGCAGTTTCTTGCAGATGTTTGAAGACTGACCTGGATGGTAGTGACAGTGTGATAGTGTCATAAACCTGTGCACTGGAAAGTAAGCCTTGGGGGTTGTCACATCTAGGGATGCCCCTCTGAATTCTAGGCCTTCTACAAGGGTTAAAGTAGACTTCTGGATCTTTAGGTGAAGCTCTAGCTTTAGGAACAGTGCTATGGCCTTCTTTGTGACTAATAAGGTCTCATCGTAAAATGGATCTTCCAGTAGCCAATTGGTGAGGTACCGGAATACCACACTTGCCTCCCTGTGGAGGTTCATGGGGCACAATCACACCTGAAGTGGAACACCCATAAGGATATTACTCGAAGAAGAATCCTCACTTGTATCCCATCTGAGTGTAAACTGCAAGCAAAAAAACAAGTTCACGGAACCAACTAATATGCCTAATTACCTGGACATGTATGCACAATTCTTCTACAGATGTAAGGAAATTTTCTACTGCCAATGTGCAAAGCGCAGTTTTTTCCCAAATCTTGGAACACAGGAATTGCCAGAAGAAATCAAACTACTGAGGTCCATCTAGTCCAGTATGCGGACACTGATAGTGACCATAACCAAATGCCTCAGAAGAAAGGGCAAGAAATTCCATACTAGACAATTAATAAAGTAACCTGCCTGGATGAGAAGTTTCTTCCTAACATTCATGTGTGTGTTAAACCAAAGGCACTAGTACCCACCAAGAACTATGTCCATACCAATGTAATGTGATGCTCCAAGAAGATCATTGGTAGCAGGGTTCAAACTCTGCAGCCTCTGTATTGAAAACTATGAGCCTCTATTGCCTGAGCTAAGACACCCAGGGTCTGTTAGCCAACAGTTGTAGCACACACAAACCTCTGTGTGGTCCAGCAATTGAAGCAAGTCAGAATGCCATACTGAGTAAGGATGGGTGATGCCAAGTTTAAAACTTCAGTCATTTGTGCAGTCATGCTTAAAAGGACATAATTAGAATCTCAGACAGCAAAGTGGTGGGTTTTCAGCCTTCAAGATAGCAAAGATGGCTTAAAGGATTACGTTTTATTTTTCAGAAGAATTCACCTTCAGGCAGACTAAGCATTTAAAAATTCAGCCCAAACGGTTGATATTTGAGGAAATTGTGAATGCCTGGGATTGGATTATAATGGAAGCTGTTTTGCAACCTTAACTATAGTGATTGTGAATGAGCAATCGCTACAGACAATTCCAGTTAAACAGCAATCTACCTTTCCAATTAACTGCAAGAAAACAATAATTAAACTCTCCTCACAAAGAATTTTGGACATATTAACTTATAGAGTGGAACTTCAAACAATGGGTATTAGTGTTTGTTTTGGGACTCCTCTCCGGAACACAAACTCATGCACAATCCAAGCCCCCAAGCTGCAAGCCAGTTGGTCTTACCTCTGCTAAATATTTCCTGAAGTTTCTGGTCACTAATTAATGCGTTGACCGAGTCTCTCAGTTCAGATTGCTCCTGCAGAACTTGGTTCTGGCTCTCTGTTCCCATCTGCCAATGACAAAGAAGTCTTGAATGCAAGAAAGCCAGTAGACAACATAGTAGTTATACTACTGGGGGCCACAGCTCTCTGGCCTCTCTCTATTCTGGAAGCTCTAATGGAGAAGAATATCTGACCTCCATCAAAACAAAAGTAAATAAGCTTTCTCAATATGCCAGAAAATTGATCAAGACCACTATGCACAAGCAGTTTTGGAACCCCTATAGCAATGATTCCCTCTGGATGGGGAGGATCTATGCAGCACTCAGCAACTAGAGGCTCCTAAAACAAAGGATGGGGAAGAGCTGGGACTTTAAGACTTTCTGAATGGAGCTGGAGATCAGGGCCAATTCTTGTATTTTTTCACGCCCTCTCTATCTACCCAATACCCATGAGGACCCCCACCACATCTTGAAAAAGAATCAACCTGGAAAGCATGGTATGAAGTGAAATCTGTACTCTGTCTGAGAATGCCTCTTCAAGTACCTGAAACAGACATAATCCACTGGCATCAGACAGGAATCTCAGGTCTCGGTCCAGAAGAAACTCCACAGGAACCACGGAGCCTAAACCCAGCTTATCTACTAAGGGAGTGAAGGTCTGTGAAGAAGAAAACTTGAATGAAGGGTCTGGAAACAGATTAGGGGGACACTCAGACACAAGTAATACCCTTCTGCAGGATTCATATCCTCACAGGGAATGCCCCAATCATTCATAAAATACTTCATTACCAAGAAGTTAACATTGTAAGTAAGACATTTTTAAACAAATACAGCATAAATACTGAAGACAAACAACAAAAATAGCCCACGTCAAGTAGCTTGCACTTCCCAGAGCCTGAATTTTAAAACAAGAGGAGCCACCGCCAGCAATTTAATGAAAGTGAAAGGCATATTTCATTTTCTCCAAATCATCTGGTAGTCAACTCTCCTTATAAGAAAGTGGAATTACACTAGGACTTATCAGTGCTGAGTCCCAATATTTCTAGGAGCCCCAGCAACCCAGGCAAAGTATCACAAGGGATTACATACATCGCTATTTGAAAGGGGCACTTTTATACTTTCATGTCATGTAGCAGTAAACACTATTATGGACAGACTAATGAAAGGAAGAATTTTTCATTACGGTCATTTTCTGACAAATGAAAGTGCATGTCAGGAATACTATTAAGATACCTGACAGCAGCACAAGAGAACAAATTCCCAGATCAAAAGCTCTTTGTACTATTAATTTCTAGTTTTAATGTTTCACAAATCTATGAGCTGAAGATCAGGTAGCTGCTCTACATATTTCCGATATTTGAACCCAACTTAAGCATGCTATCAATGCAGCTTGCGCTCTGGTGGAGTGAGGTCTGATGTTTGATGGAGGACTCTTATTAATATCATAAGAAGTTTAATTCAATACCCATTTTGAAAATATGTGATGAAATGGTCATCCCTTTTGATTACTATAAGCAATGAAGAGTCTTGAAGTTTTACAAAAAGATTAGTTCAGCGGTTCTCAAAACTTAATTGCACCACGACCCCCTTCTGACAACAAAAGTTACTACATGACCCCAGAAGGGGGGTGGGGGGGGAAAGACTGAAGCCTGAGCCCGCCCCAGCCCTGCTGCCCCGGGTTGGGGGGGCCAAAGCCAAAGCCCAAGAGCTTCAGCCCCAGGCAGTGGAGGCCTGTAAACTGAATTCTGTCACCCAGGGCTGAAGCCAAAGCCTGAGCCCCACCATTCAGGGCTGAAGCCCTTGGTCTTTGGCTCTGGGCCCAAGCAAGTCTAACACTAGCCCTGGCAACCCTATTAAAACAGGGTCCCAAATCACTTTGGGGTCCCAACCCACAGTTTGAGAACCCCTGATCTAGTTCTTAACAGCCACCTTCTCACATCTGAGATATTTGATTTAAATTCAAAAGGTGAAGAATGTGTTATGGGGGGAGAGAATACTAAATGAATAAACAGATATGAAAATCTGATAGTACTTTAGGAATAGAAGGTGGATGCAATCTCATAGTTACTCTATCCATGTGAAAAACTGTATGGAGGATTTATCATTAGGGCTTGTAATTCGCTTTTTCTACATGCTGATGTAATTGCCACCAGGAACGCTACCTTCACTGATGATAGATTAATTGGACAATTTGCCAGAGGTTCAAAAGGGGGCGGGGGGGAAGAGAGAGGGAATCCATCAGCAAAGAAATCACTAAATTTGAAGTCCCATGTTGGAGTGAGCTTTCCCACAGGAGGAAAAGTGTGGCCAAGCCCTTTAATAAATGTATTCACTGACTGATGAGAGAAAATTGTACATCCCTCTACAGGAGAATGGAATGCAGATACCATTGCCAAATGGACTTTGGTTGAAGAGATAGATAGTCCAGAGTGCTTTAAAGATAAGAAATAATCTAATATTGTTGGAATAGAACACTGACATGGAGCATAACCTTTAGTCTTTGCCAAATGGAAACTTTTTTCTTTATGGGTGGTGTACGTAGTCCTAGTGGATAATTTTCTACTCCAAAGAACACTGCTCTGCACTTCTGAAGAACACTTATCTATTGAGAGCATTCAAATATCACCCAGGCCGTGAGATGCAATGAGGACTGGGTGTGAATCAGACTGACTCTGTGATAACATCTTCCTAAACTGGGAGTGTGATAAATTTATTATCTGAGAACCAAAACTGGTGAAGCCGAGCAAGAGCCACCAACATAACTTGAGCTTTTTCATGACTTATTTTCTTTAACACTTTTGGGATCAGAGGAAATGGAGGAAAAAGATACATAAAATGGTGTGACCAAAAAAAAATCATGAATGCATCTATTCGAGATTGCTGACTCTCTCCTGCTCAAGAGCAAAATATCAGACATTTTCTGTTTAGAACTGAATAAATCTGGGGAAGCCACCACTCTTGGAAAATCCAATTTAGTACTGACATTTTAAACTTTCATTCATGGGAAGAGTACATTGTCCTGCTTAGTGAGGTTGCTAGACTATTTTTCTCTCCAAAAAGAGAAGAACTGTCAGACTGATGTGACACTGAATGCACCATTCCCAAAATTTTATGGCTCCTTGGCAAAAAAAAAAGTGGCTTCATCTTGCACCTCCCTGTCTAAGTCCTAGGAGGCCATGCAATTGTCCATGAGAACTTTGGATTGAAGAACTGTGTGTAACAGGTAGAAATGCTTTGCAAGCTAATCTCACCACCTTTAATTTTAATACATTTATGTGAATCAAGGCTTTTAGATGGGACCAGAGGCCATGTGTCTGACCATCCTCTATATATGCTCCCCAGCCCATCTTGGATGCAGCTGTTATCAAAGCTTTGGAACAATCAGAGGGGCAAAGAGAATTCCAGCACATATACTTTCTTCTGTCCTCCACCATTTCATCGAGGATAGAATTTGAGCTGGAATCAGCACTTTCACTGATGTATCCTGAATTGTTGGGCTGTAAACAGACTTGAACCAAGCTTGAAACAGTCTGAGACGTGACTGGGCGAATGTGGTTACAAATGTACATGAAGCTATAGGTCGCAGAAGTTTAAGGCACATCCTTATTGTTGCTTGAGGGTAAATATTGAAGTGTAGAATCAGGTATTTTATTATCTGAAATCTGTCCAATAGGAAGGATAATCTCCCTGCTAGTGAGTCCAGGAGCACCGATGAACTCTGTGGATTATGACAGAATCAGATTCAACATTTTAAAGTTAATCCTCAAACCCAGGGATAAAAGTAAATGCATCAGTTTCTTGGAGGACACTATGATCTGTGTTTGACTTCCCCTGCACAAGCCAGTAGTCTAGCAAAGGGTACATACAAAATCCTTGTCTGTTTAGATGGGCTGCAGTTACTGAGAGGCACTTTGTAAACACCCTTGGTGCTGATGAAATTCCAGAAGATAGGACTGAGAATTGGTAATGACTCCCTACAGCCATAAAATGTGTATACCTTTCCAGGGGAGGGCAGGTGGGGGGAAGAAGAGTACTGACACATGAAAATAAGCATCCTCTATCGAAGTAAAGGGTAATGAACCAGTCCATGGTATCCAACTGAAGCGGGAGTTACTACGTGGAACTTGGCATACCAAATTAATTTGTTGAGGTTCCTGAGGTCTAGAATCGGATGCAAGCCACCTCTCTTTTTCGATATGAGGAAATAGGAGGATATTGGAAAAGGTTTCTATTTTCCCTGACATGCTAACTCTATTGCTCTGAGCTTAATCAGTCTATTTCCTGATGAACGGCACTCTCATAAGAATGGTCCCTGAAAAGGGATCAGGAAGAGGGGTGGAAAGGAGATATGTATTGAAATTGAATGGTATAACCATCCTTGATTACTTGAAGGACCCATCAATCTGTGGTGATTGCCAACCAAGCCTCCAGGAAACAGTAACCAAAGCATGAAGAAAAAGATAATCCCTGTGGATTAGTCCAAGATCCTTGACTGTTGCATCAAATACCACACTGCTAGATAAGTTAATGGAGGATAGGTCCATCAATGGTTATTAGCCAGGATGGGCAGGGATGGTGTCCCTAGCTTCAGTTTATCAGAAGCTGGGAATGGGCAACGGGATGGATCACTTGATGATTCCCGGTCCTGCTCATTCCCTCTGAAGCATGTGGCATTGGCCACTGTGGGAAGACAAGATACTGGGATAGATGGACCTTTGTTCTGAAGTATGGCTGTTCTTATGGAAGGATGCTCAGTTGGGATGTTGGATGTTTGTCCTTGTCTTTAGTCAGTAGGTCTGGGAAAAGCTGAATATGGCTGCACAGACCCAAGAACATCCAAAGAATGCTCAGGAATCAGAGCTAGGCCACTGAAGCAATCAGGATCACCAATGCTCCATCTTATTTGATCTTCCTCAGGATGCAAAGTAAAAGAGGGATGGGAGGAAATTTGTACATCAGCAGTTCTGACCCGTGAATGATAATGCATCCCCTCTGGAGCAGTAGGTGGGGAATTTCTTGTTCTCCTGAGACACCAAGAGATCTCGGCAGTGGGGTTCCTGTCAGGCAAGATGTTTCATATCACCCAGTCATGTAGTTCCCACTCTTGGTCTTTGAAGAAAAGTCTTTTGAGGCTGTCTACCAATGTGCTGTGCATCATTAGGAAGTGCACTGCTGAGATGGTGATCTGGCAGCTAATGCACCAGTTCCACAGATTGACAATTTCTATGACAAGAGGTGTGACCCTTGCTCCTCCCTGTTTGTTGATACAACCATTGTCAAGTTTTCCAATATGACTTGAACATGCAGGATTCAAATAAACTGTCGGTATCGTTTGCAGGCTCTGTGAACGGCACATAACTCCAGAATGTATATGTGCAAAGGGGATTCTTGGTGGGTCCAGATACCCTGTCTTGCATGTTAGTTGAGGCAGGTTTCCCATCCTCGCAGAGAGGTGTCTGTAATTAATCTCCTTTGTGGGTGAGGGAGGGGCAAAGGGAGCCCACCATGCACACCACCTACCCGTCTTCCACCAGGAGAGCAGGGTCAGAACTCTGTGGGGGCGCAAGATCAGTTTGTCCAGGCTGTGCTTGTTGTGCACGTAGACTGTCTGTAATCATGCCTGTAGACATGGAAGACAGTCTTCGGAGGGGTGTCACA